TCTTAATCATTCATAATGAGCTCCAGAAAGCTTAATCTTATAATGAACAAGCAGTCCTCATGTCTGACTTTCCCTAGTGAAAGACATTATTATACTGGACAATAAACAAACCTGCGCTGTGTTCCTGAAAGATCTCTCTCTTCCAACCCTATACCATACAAAACAACTCTAAAAAGCTAATGTTGAATAAAATCAGCCAATGCCTCTGCTTACAAGGTATGAAGAAGTGCAAGAAACGCATGGAAAATTGTTTCCCAACAGAAGACAGCAGAAGAAGCCAGAAACTCTGGGTATTAATTTCTAATGAAAAAAAAAAACCCAAAACCTGTAACCCACAAGACACCAGTAATACCAGTGGTACCAGTGAGATAATTTGAAGTAGCCCAAATGTGTTCCATATGCCTTTCATTCTTGTTCCCCAATAACCCACCACATAGGCAACTACTGATAATAGTATCCTTCTAGAAACATTCTGCAATGCTTGTTTCCATACCCATATTGGAAAATGTCACAATTTCTAGGGCACTGGATGTGATACAGAGAAAAGCCTTGCCTCATGCATGTTACATTTTGGATAAGTGTCTTTCAAAGGCCCATGTGCTGGCTTAGTTCCTAGTATGTGGTGTTACTGGAAGGTGGTGAAACTTTCAGGAGGTAGAACCTAGTAGAAGAACGTTAGCGTTCATTGGGGATTATCCCTAAAAAGGAATAAGGGACCTCGGCCCCTTCTACCGCCCTTTACTTCCCAGTCATCATGAGATGAATATACCTCATCTACCACACAATCCTGCCCTGATGTACGGTGCCCTCATAGACCCAAAACAACAAGGCTGGCAAAATAAACCTTACTTCCTATAAGTTGTTTATCTCAATTATTTTGTCATAATTATGAAAAGCTGACCAACACCTCAGCAGTGGGGGCTAATTAGCTAGAGAGTCAATAATGCTCAGATCCAACTGGACAAAAGCAAGATCCAAAAGATTTAAACTTTGTATGTACCTTAACAGCATGCTAGAACAAAGCTCATGAATATTTTTAGGAATATAAAAATATTTAGCACCCAACAAACAAAAATTCACATCCAGTGTGTAGTAAAAAATTACTAGATGTGTTACAAAATACAAACCATAAAGAGGAGAAAAATCAATCCATTGAAACCAATCTACAACTGACAATGATTTTTGGATTAGTAGAGAAGAATACTGTAATAGCCTGAGTCTATTTCATATGTTCAAAAACATGATCTAGAGAAATAAAAGACAAAGAGACCCAAATTGAACTTCTAGAGATGAAAAGTACATTGTGTAGGATGAAAAATATAGTGCATGGAATCAACAGATTAGGCATGAGAGAAGAAAATAAGTGATTTTTTAAAATGCCATTCATTTTGATTTTTTTTAATTCTTTTTAGGTACATGACATAGAGTGTATTTTGACAATTATACATACATGGAGTATAACTCATTTTAATTAGGATCCTACTTTGTTGTACATGATGTGGAGTTTCACTGGTTGGTATTCATATATGAATATACAAAAGTTTGTCTGATTCATTCTACTATCTTTCCTATTCTCATACCCCTCTTTTCCCTTCATTCCCCTTGTCTAATTCAATGAACTTCTATTCTCCTTCCATCCTTATTCAACATCTCTAGCAATTAGAGAAATGCAAATTAAAACTACATTGAGAGTCGATCTCACTCTAGTCAGAATGGCAATTATCAAAGAATATAAGTAACAATAAATGTTGGTGAGGATGTGGGAAAAAGGTTCATTCATACATTGCTGGTGGGAATGCAAACTGGTGTAATCATTCTGGAAAGCAGTATGCAGATTCCTCAGGAAACTTGGATTGGAACCACTATTTGACCAAGTTATCCCACTCCTTGGTATATACCCAAAGGACTTAAAATCAGCATGCTACAGTGACRGCAACATCAATGTTTATAGAAGCTCAACAATTCTCAAATTGGTCTAAAGTTTCAGTGCAATTATTCACAATAGCTTAGCTATGGAACCAACCTAGGTGCCCTTCAACAGATGAATGGATGACAAAAATGTGGTATAAGTACATAATGGAATATTACTCAGCCTTAAAGAAGAATGAAATTATGGTATTTGCCAGTAAATGGATGGAACTGGAGACTATCATGCCAAGTGAAATAAACCAATACCTCCCCCAAAACAAAGTCTGAATGTTCTCTCTGATATGTGGATATTGACACACAATAAGGGCGGGGGGAAGGATAGAAGTTCATTTAATTAGACAAAGGGAAATGAAAGGAAGGAAGAGGTAATGGGAATAGGAAAGACAGCATAATGTATCTGATATAACTTTCCTATGTTCATATATGAATGCACCACCCTTGAAACTCCACATCATGTACATCCGCAAGAATGGGATCCTAATTAGAATAAGTTGTACTCTATGTATGTCTAATATATCAGAATACACTCTACTGTCATGTATTTCTAAAAAGAACAAAAATTGTGAAAAAATGAATCTAGGTGCTAGGGATATAGGTCAGTGGTAGAGTACCCACCTAGCATGTATCAAGGCCCTGGGGTCCATCCTCAGCAGTGAAAAAAAAAAAAAAGGTTCATGCAGACTGGAGGGGTAAGAAAGTGCTTCATTTTTACATGGAATGGTACGATGTCAACTTTAAGTAGACTGCAAAAAATTAAAGACATATCATTTTTAGAGCAACCACTGCAGATTAATTCAGTGAATAAATTGCATATTAATTCCTTGAATAAATGGTTCTGGTGCTATTTATAACTAAGGGTAAAATAAAATTATACTTTCAGAGTCTTTTAAGAACCTAGAGCAGCAACAATAACTCAGAAAATGTCATTTAGAGGAGGGGAAAAGGGTACTATCTACAAAATTTATTAAAAGGTGCCTAGAAACAAACCTAAAAAGAATGTGTAAGCTTTTTTATGGTGAGAATTATAAAACTCTGCTAAAGACATTTAGAAATTTAAATAATTAGAGCTATATAATGTTCCTGAATAGGGAAGGGCCACTGTATCATAAAGAAAATTCTCCCCAAATTGATCCAAAGTTTTAGTGCAATTATAATTAAAATTCTAAAGGGAGTATTAATTCTAAAAGGGAGTGTAATTACAGAAAGTAAATGTGTGGTTACAGATAGGGCAAGGGTTGCGGGGAAGGAGGGAGAAATTACAAATATCAAGAGAAGATTTTTAGAGTGATATGTATATTGTTTATGGTTTCACAGGTGTATTCATATGTCAAGTGGCACACTTTAAATACATGAAGTTCACTATATGTCAGACTTCAATAAAGCTGTTTTTCTAAGTCAACAAAATAAAAAAAGGGTTTTAGAAACATATACAGATGTACATCTGTATTATAAATTACAAATAAAAAGTAAAAGAATGATAACTCAAAAAGAGAATTAGTTGGAGTGAGGGAAAGAGTGCTACTGTGAGAAAGGCACCACAGGCAGCTTGTCATGTTCTGGTATTGGTATGACTATTTCTGACACTGAGCCCTGGCTGTCTTAGTATCTTTCTTTAAGTTACATGCATATTTTATACAATCTATTGCATAATATTGATAAATTTCACAATTTTAAAAAAGAGAAGGTCAGGGGATAGGAACACAATAAACAATTAGCTTAACTACGTTCTATTGTTCCTAGAGCTGAGTTCCCTTCAAACCTTTTAAACCGACAGCTAGGATTAAGCTCTTTCATTTGATCTGGATCACTAGTTTGAAAATGGCAAACTTTTTATCAAAGAAGAGACAAGAAAAATCAAAACCTATTTCTTACTACCYTAAACATTACCCCATTTCTGCTAATAAGTAAACAATCACTCTAACCTTTCACAACCCCCTGTTGTGGTAGGCACAAGTAGTAATTAATATTTAGGCAGTACCTACCACCTGGCATAGAATTATCTTTGCACACATTTTTTTCCCCCATAAGATTATAAATTCCTCTGCTGGGTACAGTGGCCCATGCCCGTAATCCCTGCTACACCAGGAGGCTGAGGCAGGAGGATCTCAAGTTTGAGGCCAGCCTTGCAATTTAGCAAGACCCTAAAGAAAAATGGTTGAGGATGAAGCACGATAGAGTGATAAAGAGCCTTTGGGTTCAATCCCAATTATGGGGATTATAAATTTCTCCCTTCAAAGCTGTTAATGTTTCGTTTTCTTCCTTTTTTTTGTTGTTGTTTACTTATACTGTCTATCAAACTACTGAAATTAAAATATCAAGGCAAATATATTGCGGTTGTTTCCATGTAACTTCGCCTGACAATATACAATTTTCCTGTTAATGGTTTTGCAATCCCAGTCTGACCATAGCAGAGAAGGCAGGGACCTCAGGCTTCCAACAAAATAAGAACCAATCTTAGGTTTCAGTTGGAAGAGAGGAGCTAAGCTGTGCTCCTGGCTTGGTTCTTGCCAACTATTCAGCTGTTTGGGATGAGCTGCACATCTTGTCGGCCACTTCAAGTTTTTAATCAAGAGACCTTGGAAGAATGGTGCTGACTTCACTTTCTACAGCAGGTATCTTAGAACACTGTTTTGGATTCTTTGCATGTTAGTTTTTAATACTTCCTTGGGCCCGTACGCCTTGTGAAGCCTCTTAACATTAGAGTTATTTGGCATCTGCATAACCTGCGTCCTAACCTCCAGGCGCCGTCCCGCGGTCACTGACACGAGGAAGGGAATACTACTAACACATACTTTCGGAAGGTCTTAAATTTCCTGTAAGAGGGTGTCGAATGTAAGGCGCAGCCCAGAGTCTTAAACCGCTATCCCACGCCTGAGAAAAGGTCACGCCCCCTGCAGACAACCACTCCGGGTTTTAATCCGCCCGCCGCCGCCTTCCCGCCTCCCTCCGGGACGCGCACTTCCGGCCGCGAGGGCGTTCGGGAGCGCGCGCAGCAAGCCTCCACCAACCAGAGGCCGCGTCTGGTCGGCCCGAGTGCGCGCGCGCACATTCGTGCGCAGGTTCGAATCTCCGTCGCTTCGCGGTTGCTGCCCAACGTCCGGGCCGCACCTCTGAGGCGGCTAAGGCCGCGCAAGAGGGCGACACTCGACTCCACCCGGGCTGCCCCGCCCCCTTCCCCTCGCCCCCTTCCAGACGCAGCATAATCAGGGTCGGCCTCGCCCTCCCTCGCGCGTCCCGCGCTCCGCCCTGAGACTATCGGCGCTGGGTCCCGCGCCCGGCCGTCTCCGCCCGAACCCTCAGGCCCATGGCCAAGCGGCGTGCGGCTGAGCCGCTGACGTTCCACGTGCCTTGGAAGCGGCTCCTGCTCTGCGACTTCACGGAGGAGCCGCCGCCGCCGTCGCCGATTTGGATCCCGCCGTCGGGGCCCTCGCATYCTGGGCTACCGCGAAAGCGCAAAATCGACGCAGGGGCCATGTCAGAGCCTTCGGCTTCGCCCAGCAAGCGCCGCGACAGCGGGGACAGCAGCGCCCCGAGCGGCGGGGAGCGTGAGGGCCGCGGCCTGGAGACGGGCGAGCCACCGCTGTCGCTGCTGCCGGGAGGGCCCCGGGGGCCAGGGGAGGAGCCCCGGGACGCCCGGCCCCCGGGGGGCGGTGGTGACGACGGGGCGGGGCGCACAGGGCCCCCGCGGGAAGACTGGGGGGCCGCACCGCTCCAGGTAGGGGTTGGGGGCTGGTGGGAGAAGGGCTTCCCCTTTTCCTAGCCACTGCGCGCCCAGAAAGGATCGGATCCCCCACCCTCAAGTTGGGTCCGTTAACACCCCCTAAAAGGCAAAAAGCCGGATCCCGGGCAGCACGCGGCGCCCAAAGCCTGCCTTGGCAGTATTGGAGGAGTCTGAGARGAACATTGGTAGACCAGGTGGAGGTAGCGTCTGCCAGGGCACTGTGCAGAAGTGGAAGCGTGGCCTGGGCAGGTTGTAGACGTTGACTGAACCAAGGGGTGCAGCTCAACGACAAACGTCAGGGAAAGGGAGTGCGAGCCCTCGTAGCGTTAACCAGGAAGAGAATCCGTGACCGGAGGGAGAGTGGCCGGCTGGGAGCCATCTGTTGATTGGGCATATTGGAGGCTTGGTACAGCCCTTTGGGCTGAGAGGAAGTCCTTTTGTATCTTTGGAAAACCCTTTTCTAACTGTTCAGTGTTAAACCCCATYATGTGAAGACGGATTGTTGACATTTGTGCATCAAAGTAAAGCATTTATGAGAATCACGGGGAAGTTTTCCCTTTTTCGCTTCCCTGCATCTAAGAATACTTAAAAAATCTGATTTGTCCAGATAGCCCAGCCTCTAGTTGTGTGATCCTATGAAATACTAGAAATGTGACTAGTTCAAAACAGTATGTGCTGCTATACGTGCAACACATGAGATTTTGAAGATTTAGTAAAAAAAAAAAGATAAACTATTGATTGCTCAAGAAATAACTTATATGCTATTAAAGTATATTAATTTCATCTTTTTCTTTTTTAGTATAACTACTAGAAAATGTTTATTTTATGGCTCATGTTATATGTTGGGAACTTTGATCTAGATTTAGGAATCTGCTTTTTCCCAGTTCTGGGATGACTTACTAGGGGAGTTGTCCCTAGTGGAAGAATCAAGTTTAGGGGCTCAGAATTCACCAGTCTTCAACCACTACAGTATAGTAACCACTCAACTTTGTTCTGTGGGATTAAATGTTTTGTGACAGAGTTGATTAACTATCTTGCAGAATTAAAAAAAAAAATGCATTTCCTTTGTTCAAATTTTATAGTTAGGGAAGATTATTTTTTCCTGTGAGAGAAATTATCTTTTAGACTTAATCACTATGATCACCATTTTAGAAATTGTAAGTACTTCTACTTCAATTTTCTTGGAATTTAGAATAAACATCAGCCTTATTTAGGCTTTTTTCTTCAAAATGCTTTTAGATGTTCAGAATCACCTTCCTTAAAACAATGAGTCATCCAGACCTGTTGGTTATGGAGATAGGTCCTTTGTAGTTAAAAATCATACTCTTCAGATGGTTGTTGAGACCTCACCCATATGAAGGCTTGTCTTTCCTACCACAATGTGGTAAGTGTCATATGCCATAGAACTGATAAGAGGGAAATACGAAAATAACAGGCAAAAAAGTAGAGTGACATAAAGGCACTTGCTTAGAATCTCCTAGAAACAGCTAGTTGTGTTACACAATTGACTAGATCCGGCAGTGCTCAATTTCCATTAGTTGCTGCAAGCTCATGGAAGGAAGAAGTTTGGCTCTTGGGATTTCTTCACTGAGACTAGTCTCCTGTCGGTTTTTCTTTGAGCAAAAACCTGAACACTCAAATTCCTTCGTTTTGTTAAGTCTCTTCCTTAGGCTGCATCTCTTCTGCAAATCTAAGAGATGGATGTGCTTTTTGTGCCTCCCTCTTAACTTTTTGCTTCCAAAGATCCAGGCTTATTGTTTATAGCTTATTTCAAGGGAAAATAGCAAAAAAGATGGAGATGGAAAAAGCTTGTTCAGTTCAATGTAATAACTGCCTGGTTTCTGTTGGTGAGAATAAAGCTTAAGTTCCTATCCTCACCCCTGGGGTCTCATTTAGAAAATACTACTTCATATACCTTCTTTCTAAATCAAAGATGCAGTACCAGCAGAATAAGGTACTTCTTTGAGGGAGGGTAGGGTACTGGCAATTGAACCCAGGGACATTTTGCCACTGAACTACATCCCCAGATCTTATTAATTTTGAGACAGGGTCTCCCTAATTTGCTTCGGGTGTTATTGAGTTTCTGGGGCTGGTCTCAAACCTCTGTCCTCCTGCCTTGGCTTCCAGAGTTCCTGGGATTACAGGCATGGGTCACTGTGTGCAACAAGGTCCTTCTTTTCTGTGCTGAAACCTTAGAATATTTCCTACATTGGTTTCAGATATGGTTTTTATTGGAGAACTTAAAAAGTCAGATATTAAGTATACGCATTTTTCATATTAGTGTCATTTTAGGCAAATTCATTGCTCTATCAGTGTTGACTGTTATAGCTGTTTTAACAGTAAACGAATGTTTCACTAAGGAGAAGGTGATTAATGTTTTATATTCATTTTGGGAATGTAATACCTAGCAGTATTGAGCAATAACTGGGCTACCCTTAAATTCCCACAATGGTCCTACTCCAAAGTTACCAGTGAAATCAAGTTCAGAGTTATCCAAACCCAGGTCTGTCTGTCTSCTGGCAAAGTTTGTGCTTTTATCCTCTAGGTTCCACTGATGTTAACAAACCCCCCCCCACACACACCCTTTTTAATCTGTGCTTACAAGTTGATAATTTTAACAATGGATTTTCCAAAAGAGAACTAGAACTTTAACCTCATTTGTTTATTGAAGTGAAAGTTTATAAATTTTTGATTTGTTACATCTTTTTTCCCAATATTAAGAAATTCCCCAAAGGCTTGATTCTTTAAGCCTTAAATTTTAAGGCACAGAATGAACTTCCCTCTGAGACTTTCTGGTAAACTTGTGCTCTCCAGTACAATCATCCTTAAATACCCATAGCCAACAAGCATTGGAAGTGTGGCTGGTCTGAATAGTGCTGGAAGTATAAAGTGCATGCCAGGTTTGAAAACCTAGAAAGGATGTATTATATTAATTTTAAAAATATTGGGTATGTTAATGTTTTAGATATATTAAGTGAAATAAGATGTTAAGGTAACTGGGCATGGTGGTGCCTATAATCCCAGCATTTTGGGCAGCTGAGTCAGGAGGATCACAAGTTCAAGGCCAACGGCAACTTAGTTCTTGTCACAAAATAAAAAATAAAATGGACTGGGAATRTATTTTAGTAGTAAAGCACCCTTGAGTTTAGTTCCCAGTACCAAAAATATTATAAAAAAAAGTTATGATTATTTCCCCTGGTTCTTTCTTTTTGGCTTTGGTTACTAGAAAATTTTAAAGTACATATGTAATTCCCATGATATTTTTGTTAAGACACTGCTGCTATAACAAATATAAACTTGAAATAAAAGCACAACATAGTAGAATATATTTGGATATTGATCTGAGAATGGTGTTAATTTTTAGAATTATGACCTTGTAAGCCTTCATGTAATTCCAGTGCCACTTTCTTTACAGAGAGTATTTTGGGGATGCTTAAAATTCTGTGCCAATTTTTAACTTCTATTACTTGGATTAATTTTTTAGTCATTTAGAGTAAGCTGTTAAATTTTTAAGAGGCCATCATTTGGATTGATAAATTTTGATATATTGATTTAAAAGTTATACCTTCTATGAAAGGATATCTTTAATGATCAACTTAACATTTTCTTTCTGTTCACCATGTTTATATCCTACACTGCTTTAAAACACCAAGCCTCAGAATAAAGACCAAAACTAAGTTATAAGGGTGTGTGTGTGTGTGTATAAAATCTTATTTTTCTTATTAAATTTAAAATTTAAGATCATTTTTAGACATTTGATGGGGGTACCAGAGATTGAACCCAGGGGTTCTTAATCACTGAGCCACATTCCCAGACCTCTTTTTTATATTTTATTTAGAGACAGGGTCTCGCTGAGTTGCTTAGGGTCTTGCTAAGTTTCTGAGGCTGGCTTTGAACTTTGATCCCCCTGCCGCAGCCTCCTGAGCTGCTGGGATTACAGGCATGCACCGCCGCACCCTGCCAAACATTTTCTTTGGATGAAAAATTAGAAAATTCTAGAAAGCTACTTGTGGATGAAATTTTTAAAAATTTACCCTATTAGCAAATACTTTCACAACCCATAAATACTAAAATGTGCAGATTTAATTGAATACATGAAGTATTTTCATTAGACAAAATTTAAAATGCATACATTTAAAATGCAAAGTGAAATACTACAAGGTCTATTGAGTTTGCTTTTTTAAAACAAGGAAATTTGTTTCTTGGAGGGGAAACCTTCTGAGTTACTGGTGTATTTTTGTCTCTTTTTCTTAAAGCACAATGAAGAATTTTGGCAGTATAATACTTTCCAGTACTGGAGAAATCCTTTACCACCTATTGATCTGTCAGACATCGAAGATGTGAGTGGAAACAACCAGTCAGAAGCAGCACTTGAGGGCAAGAATGAAGTGGTTGAGATTGACATGGAGTCCTGACATAAAGAGCTGAAGAAATGGGATTTCCTGAATTTGAGGAGACATCTCTAAGTGAATTCATGTATTTTTTAGGAAAAAGTTGTTTTCCTTACTTGATGTATCATTTCCAAACCTGAAAAATGAGGAAAGGTTGTTTTGAAGATAAATGCCTGTAGTTACTACTGACCTACTAATAGGGATTTGTCAACAATATAGCAGAATGGTAGGCAAAATATTTATGCATATATTTTTAAAGAAGCAAGTTTTGTTTAGGTTCTGACTTTTAAGAAACTGATCTTACAAAAAAGGATTCTAGAAGTCTTAGGAATGCATGGAAAATACTCAAATCTTTCTCTCATCTGCACCAAAAAGTTTGTGGCTCATGGATATCATTTTATAATAACTTATTAATAAAATAATTTCTAATACATCTTACTGACTCTTCTTAGTTGAACAAATAACTGACTTGAACATCTATGCAAACTTAAAATGTGGGGATTCTTTGAAAGCTAGTATTGTTTTTATAGTTTTGTAAAAATGAAAAGTAATAAGAATTTCAATTTGGGTTTAAATAACTTCCAATATTTGATATTTGTTGAACTCTACTATGGTTAATCAAAAATGGATAAAGAAAAATGAAAAGTCAGTTCTTGGTCACCTCCTCCTTTTCCAATATAAAAGGAAAGAAATTTATCATGACCACTTTGTTGGTTTTGAATTGATTTGAGGGCATGTTTTTTTTTTTTTTTTTTTTTTTTTTTTTTTTTTTTTTTTTTTTTTGACCTGTAGTTCTCAACACTGATAGCACTTAACA